AATTTTTAGAAGGATGTTCTAAAGATGAGAATGATTATATTTTGATTGATGGGCAGTGAGCAGTGTTCAGATTACAGAATTAGCATTTGGTCATCCAGCAACTGGAGTAATTAATTTTAATCAATTAAGTCGAAATTTGGGGCGTCCCACAAAATGAGTTTAACTACAAGAAGGATCTAATATCAAAATGTTACTGAGCACATCAAAAGTAACTATCTTCTGTGAGTGTCACGAGCCAGTCTAGGGCTGGGCTGTATTAGAATAAGGATGGGGGGATGGGGGGAGGAAATAAGTGACATGATAGATTTAGTATCTAAGTTTGACATCTCTGATTCACTGAAACTGTACGTATGATAGGTTAGAATTGGGCATTGGTATTCGGATTTACAAAGCCCTGTGACTACTGTGAATATACACACATGCACACAGACACTTATATGCACTATACATGTGTAGCGTGGTGCTCATGTGTTGTCTCATGATGACGCATTACCATACTTTTCAATATTATTACATGCTAGATGTCTTATATGAAGAGATGTGGTCTCTGATCATTGTCAGTTTGTACCTGCAAAGTTGCTTTATGTTTTATAGCTGCTGAAGTATGAGTCACTCTTTTTTCATTTAGAGCCACACTGAACGTGCAATACAAACACATAGAGCTCTCCCTGCTGACCAGGAAAGAAAAGACAGAGGGGCCGACACATTCATTTTAATTCATTAATTTTAATTTACAAGCTATTGCTGTGGTCTTTGCATAGTGTAATATCTCCTTTTGGGTTCTACTTGATGTGCTACTTGTGTAGTTTTCTGTGGGTTTCTGAAGCCACAAGAGAGCCATGTTCATTGACTCTTTAGAGAAAGGGATTTGTAAAAAAAAAAAAAAGAAAATGAAAAAAAAGAAGAGCACCCAGTTGGTTTTGAGCTTGATTTCTGATTTCTTGGCAGCCGAAAGCATTAGAAGGTCAGGAAACAGGAAGGGGGGACATGCTTCAGTGGAACTACAGTGTCCACTAATCGGGCAACCAAACTGAGTATGTTCAGCGGACATTGAGCTGTTTTGCATGGTATGGATATGTCACCGATGAACACCAGCGTTGTCCTATACACACACACATTTGGCAGATCCTGTCCCACTTCAGAACCATGGCGTGACACAGGCAATGAGCCAAAGTGCCGTACCCCTGGAAACCTCAGTGCTGTTCACAGCTAGGGCATTGCAGAATAAGAGAGGTGCGAGGGGTGATGGTTCAGCATTTATCTACTCTGAGAAGACCTCCAGAGATGAAAAAGTTGGCAATATCGAGACACCATCTGAAAACACTGGTCATGTAATAGTGCACAGAATGCAGGCAAATGGTTGGTTTGAAACTGCTAAAGACTTTTATATGAGAGTTAATGTGATTGGTTAATGCTTCCTCAAATAATGTGCCATTCTGTAAATTTGATTAGTAATATACAGTTTTAAATAATTTATAATGGTTGATAATCTCCCTGTTTAGATATTTGCTAGTTAAACTAGAATTTCACCGAATGAAACACATGGAATTCGTGAACATTGTTCACAAATGAGTCAATGTGCTACAAAGCCCAGGGCAAGTCATTGTTGTCCTTACTGAGCATAGAATCTACCTTTGTGCATTCTTTAAAAATATATTCTTGGATTCTATTATTAGGGTTATGTTTGCTGCAAATGGATGATAAATGTAATGTTTTTACCGTGGGTTTTGCACTGTGATACTGTATGTATACAATGTTTTCACAATTTTGGACTTTGGTTAGTTTTCTCAATTTAGTTATCTGGCTGTGGGTCAACTTCTTATAGTTACCTAATCTTCAGGTTCTGTTAATTATATTCAAGCAAAAGTATCTTGGATTTTTGTATATCCAAAATATTTAAAGCTGTATAATGAATGAATATTTCATATGACAAGTAAGAATATTTCATCTGACAGGAACACAGACTTTGCTGTTGCTTTACTGTTGCCATGTTCCACCTATGTCAAATACATGGTTTCAAGAACATCCTTCAGTTGAATTCTTCTGGAGTCTTCCGCAGACACACAGGAAGTGATGCAGCAGAGGTGGGTAGACTGCATTCCAGAGAAGCTGCTCTTTAAAGACCCTCCTAAAGGACTTCATTTGCGTACTTATAAATAATGTATCATAAAACCCTAGAATAGGGAAAGCGAGCTCAAATGATGCAGAACATTTTTTAAAAGAACAAGGCAAAGACAAAAATAGTGACACATTTTCCTAAACTCCAGGTGGATCAAAGGAAATGTTTCTCCTTTTTGTGAATTGCCAAGCAATGCTTATTATAATTAGAATGTTATATATAAAAAGCACACAATCAATGGTTATTACTCTAAATTAGTCACCTTGTATCATAAATACCATTTTAATAGTTGGTGTTAAATATAATAATATAAATATATATGTACTTCAAACTTTAATGTTTAAAGTTAAAACTAGTACAGCAAGACTGTAATCCCGTTTATCCCAAAATGCAATAATTCTAACACCTGCATGATCAATATTTAAATATGTTTTTTTTAATTCGTTGTTAGTTCCTGTCTGCATTTAAATCCATATGTCTTTTAACAAGACTCATTAAACCATTATCATTGGGAGGGATCCCCTTTATCAAGGGAGAACGTGCATCTCCACATCCTATGGCTGAGTCTGCACCTCCTAGGTCAAGCTGAGATCAGCCCAATCAGGCCCCTGACTTCATTAGCCTGGCCGAAGGAAAACAGTGACCACCACCACATGAAAATATATAGCATATTTTGAATAAGAACAGGTCCAGAAACCAGGACACGTAGCTGTTTAGAGATGCAGATGATGTCTCTTTCCCTGTTTTCATTCACACATTTGCCACTGCGGGGCACTGGGAGGTAGCACTGGGAACTAAAAATCTTTGTGCATGCAAGCATTGGGAATTTCTGGGAATGTGTTGCCCTACCAAATCAATCCTCCTGACAGACTCTTATATTTCGCTTAAAAATATTTATAGACTGATACCTACATGGGATTCCTTGCAATAATGGAGTCTGTGAAAAGCCATTCAATATCTAATGTCTGTATGCTGGCCTGTAATGCAGTGCTGCTCCCATGATAAATCAACAAGATATTTGTGTGATGGGTCTTCACCAGAGACCCGTCCAAATGCAGGTAGATACTTACAGCAGATTAGATACAAATGGAAATGCAACAATATGATTAATGCTGAAGAGATGGTGCAATAGACAGACTGCCTAACAATGTTTGTTAAATACAATTAGTAACAATTTCAAGTCTGACAGTGGGTCTGTTAAGAATGTTTTCCCACCTGCTTCCCAGGTGCTTTAGATTATACAACTTCATATTCTCAAAAGTGCCTGAAACAGCCACAGAACATTCAAATTAGTAGGTGAGGGCAGCTCTTTTTCTTAACTAGATGACTCCAGTCATTGAACTGTTCTTTACAGAACTAAAATGGAGTTTGAAGACAACCCATGGGACTTGAATGAAAGGTAAAGTCAAGCTTGATACGCCAATAATGGCAGCTCGGTTTTGAAGTGAATCTACTGAGAGTTTAGGCTAATGTAACATAGTACAAGATATATTATCTGTGTATTGTCTGTTTGAGAGCTGAGAATGACCCTTTCAAATTCAACATGGTTATCGTGTACTGGTGCCCTTATATGGAATGAATTCTTGAGAGTTTTTAAACTATAACAGTGTGAATAAGTGCATAATAATTTCAAATTTATTTAGTTCTCTAACTTCCTTGTTTATAGTTTCATTTAAATAAACAATTAAAAGACAACATTAACTAAATCTGAAATACAACTAGTTTATATCTTTAAAGTAATTTTCACATACTGATCATACTTGTGCGCTTTATCGCTCATTAATCTTAAAACTATTCCATTCATCTCTCCAGCTTCTTTTCCTGGTCAGGTCCAATGTGTAGAGACTTATATTGACTTCTTACATTTTTGTACTAGAAAGTTGTCACTTGATTGAATAATATTTTCTCCAAATATATGTGAGATTCTTATTAATAAGAAGTCTTGTTAAAATTGCAAGCCTCAGGTGGCTGAAGAGGACCTGGCCACTGAATTAACTTTTAGATGTTTTAGCTGTAAAATAGGTTAGTACAGGCCAAGGGTGCTAGATTTGCTAATAATTTTCTGGCTTATTACAAAGAAATACCATTGGCTTCAGTGGTAGTATATTTTAAATTTGAAATATTACATGCCAGGTTTTCAAGCAAGGGAATGTGCCAGTTTAATTAGACTGTACAGCCACATACACCATCACAACATGATGCAGGTAGGTCTCTAACTTCTAAACAAAATCCATGCAAACCTCTCTATTTCCAAATTGTCATTATTGCTGACTGATACAATTTGATGATAATCATAGATTGGTCTAGGGACAGATACCCTATCCTTATTGTACTGCAGTCCTGTGCCCTGTGCTCCAGACTCCAGGTGACCCTGAACAGCTTAAGCTGTTAGAATATAGATGAATGGATAGATTGACGAATGCCTTAAATTAGATAAATATACATGAGTATTTTACTGTAATTATATATTTATATGTTGGCGATTCATTCACGAATATTTTTTCTATTGTCCCTTTAAATATAATACGATGGCTGACTTAAACGTTAAAATGCTTTTGGAAAATGATTTGCAATCATTTCGATTTATCCAGAAAGTTGCAGCTAATGTAATACTTTATGGAGCCAGAGGACATCTGGAACTAGCATCCCTCAGCGCGGCTGAAACACCGTGAGCTGGTCCGGCACCGGAAACCTCGATAAACAATGGCGCACCAATTTTGCTGCTGCGCAAACTTGAGTGGGCGTTATACTCCCACTCTTTAGACAGCTTAAATTATTATTTTTATTGTTTGCTAAGCCCGCCCAAGCAGCCAGTTTAGAGCTTTAGGCTTTCCCTCATTGGGAATACTTACGCGCTGGGAGGCAATGAGCCAGTATCGGAGTCACATGCTACAACGTCATGATGTACTTAGTTACTGTAGTTGCAAGGCATGAACCTTTCATTCAAAGCTACAGAAGTCCCTTATCGCGCAATACCTCGGGTGCTGGCGTGCAACACTTTTATTCTGACCGAATTCAGATGGATCCACTCAGTCATGGGAATCCCATACCTCAAGACTGCAATTTCCTCCATCAATAATTTCGCCTTTTTTTCTCCAAAGCTGAAAAGATCTCTTCAAAGAGAGGAAAATATAACTATCTGTAAATAACGTAGGGAATTACCAAAACGTTACAAATGAAATTGTCCTGTTGATGTTCTCCCTTACGACCAGACAGTAGAAGGTAGGTCTGTGTGACTTTGTTCTGTCGATTTCACTCTTTTTTTCTCAAAACTTAATGAGCGGAAAGTCAACGAAAGTAACCAAGTTGGTCAGTATGGAGCGACTGAAGCGCAGCCTTCTTGCAGGTCAATATTAAGAAACGGTGTTATAATCTTTGTTGAATTTCTGTCTCAGAAACCAAAATAACCATCGACTGTAAGCGTTGCTTTTGTTTCATTTGGTATTATCTTTTCCAGTTTATACAAGATTTCTTAATTGTGGCACCAAATTTGTTAACGAACTTTTTTCTCAGTGGTTACGTTAGTATAACTTCTTTTGTAGATTATTAATGGTGTCAGGCTCTTATTAATGAGTTTTTCTTGCGTGTAGTTGACATAATATACATATTTAAATTACCTCCTCCTGTTTTCCCATTATAAAACGCGATCGGTACGGTAGTGCTTAGTATATTGTAGTAAAATATGTTCAATCTCATTGCGTCAAAACGTGAAAGCATACATGATAATTCAGATGAAACTTCAACATGTACAAAAAGGCGGCAAATAAAAGCTGGATACCCTCATTAAGACTTTATTAGAAACCTGAGACATGCTTAGGTTTCTAACCATGGTGTAAATGCTTTCGCGGAAACTGACAAGGACGATCTTACGGTGTAAAATGACCGTTATAGCAGTACTCCAAAGTTATATAAGGATATAATGACATACTTTGAACGTTGACACAAGGACAAAGTTTTGCTCTTTCTGTGTTGTTACCAGGTAAAGCCGATCAAAATAAGATACTTCATATATGCGTCATATAATAATTGCCTGTATAAATATGGTACAGCTGTAGTTTCTGAAGTAGCACCATTAAAGCTTTCACTTGGAATAGAAATGATTCAATATCCTTCTAAAAGTAGATTACGCCAACAATGTTGAAATTTGATAGCAATAACACCTGTTTGTTATTTAAATGCCCATAGCCTGTTGTTTACGGACAAATTGCATATTTCATGTGGCTTTCACCTTTGCTATGTTATGCACATGTCTACAACATTGCTTTACGGGGTGTTTGCTGTAGAGTAATATTGGAGATACGATGGTCACGTACTTCTCATTTTAAATGTCGTGATCCTGCTCTATCATTGCAACTCCATGAATTGTCGCTGTATTGGTATTTGAAAAACTTTACCTGGACAAATACCGCCATCTAGCGTAAATATGATTGCAGCGCTTCTCTTTCTTTCCGGTATCTTCATCTGATTCTGAAGTAAGTGCACTGCGCAGGGGTGCGTGTAAACAAAACGGCTGCAATTGACGCACATTTTACGTTTTCAATACAAATTTCGCTTGCCACCCATCTAGCTAGTCTTTGGAATTGATACTTAATTAAGCTTTGGCAAAACATTTTTACCTTTTTACTTCTGTGGGGTGCCAGCATAACATAGGCTCTTTGTTGAGCCGCTTGGGACGCTCTAAAGGTTAGACACATTTGTTGCAACGTAATTTGACTCAGAAAATAGGCTGGTACATGATTCACTTCCATATTATGGACATTTTTCGTTCTTAAAGATCCTTCACTGTGCTACTTTATTCATTTAATTTAATAACGTTAATAATGGTTCCTTTTTGAAAATGACTATTTTTAAAGCTGCACACAGTTATTCGGCTGAATATTTAGGACATCACCTGACAATTTTGTTCACATGTAGGCCTACTGATCGAAAATACTATCTGCATACCCAGTCATTTTATAACTAAAACCTGAACTTCATCTTGTGGATGGTACTAGGCCCTAATTGCATGTGTGGTATATAGTATAATCTACTCTTTTAAAGCAGTCAGTAGTATTAAATTATTCATTTTTAGCAGCCACCCTATATGTATGTCTAAAATTAGAAGAACCTGCTGATGGTGGATATTCATGGTTAACTGCAGCTATACTTTGTTGCTGGATTGAGCAGGATAGAGGTGTGTAGAATCTTGGGTGCCAGTCCTCAAGGCCACTGAACATCGTCTTTGTTATGTGTTTGAGCAAACTCCAAAGGCACTTTCAGTTGTTCGATAACTTCGATAACCAGCGGAAAAGTGTGAATCGTGCTATCAGTAGTCAGAAGTCTACAAGAGCTCTGTTATTATTAGAAATTCTACATCCTGCATCAAAGTTGCTTTATTATTATTATTATTATTATTATTATTAAAGTCTCTCTTGATTTGAGGGATTGAAAGCTTCTGTTCGATCATTCATTTTGTTAAAAATAGTGGCAAAAGGTGGCGAAGACTGCCACAAAATCTGACTTGTGCCGGTGTCTATTGGATACGTTGTTGTCTTGGAAACAGACAGTTCCAATGTAAAGATGCAGGTTTGTTTCCATGACAGCATATCAGTATATCCAATCTGTGTACGGGTTTGGATATCATATAATTGTCCATTTTTATCAAACCTGATTTTGTCACTGTACTGCTTGCATTATTTTCTGTAAATGCTTTAATATGATACTATTTCACACTCGATTGTTCTTTGCATTATTTTTGACTCTCCCTCTTGCGGTGTGGTTAATTAACCATGCATCCATGTGATGCCGCAAAGTCCTGTAAGGTTGGAACTGCACCGACATTGAACTTCATTGAGCTTGAACTTGAGCTCAAATTGAGCTGTAGGCCATATATATGTGATATTCTATTATTCTCTTTTCCCCTTTATCATGGTTGCTTTCACACAGATTAGCCATCAGCGATATCTTGATGGGGTGGCCGAATGTCACATCACGGTATTTTCCATTGGAGTCACGATCCACGTTATACATTACGCTTTGTTTGTATGTTTACAAACCAACCAAACTGGAATGTATGTAGCAGTGTTAATTAACCATTTAACCACTTAAATAGAAATTATGTCCTATCCAAGAAACACTGCTTGTAGCATTATAACAATAAACATAAGCTATATATTTAAAATAATTTATAACAAAAGTTATTTTAATTTTTTAAATATAGTTTAAAAAACTTTTGAATGCAAATGAACATTTATGACTTAGGTTAATAACTTCTGAACTCTGAATTGGTTAGTGTTTGCAACAACAACAAACACTAACCAATAATAATAGATAAATAAAATTTGCTGTGTTGCCACCTGTTGTACGAACGATATCTTTCTCAAAGCACACAATCTCAAAGTTTGCAAATTACAGTAAACTGATCCACGTCAGATTTCACAAATCCAAACCTTTTGCTTACAATTGAAGCAGAACGTTTTTTTGGAACCGATTCTTCATCAGCAATGCCATATGTTCTATTTATTCCACAGCATAGCTGACCCAGCTTTTTATCGCATCAAATATGTACAATATTTTTATCAGTCAGATTGTATATAAAGTTTATTTTATTTTATATTACTTTACTTTATTTTATTGTATTTACCAAGTTAGCTAACTGGTTAAAAAAAGATCTATTATTTTTTAGTTCAAGATCTAGTCACTAAGCTGAGGTCCACTGAGACATATTATCGGTCCAATGGAATGAGCACTCCAATTTGGCTTCATTCATCCCCCCAGTATATGAACATTATATTATGAAGTCGTACTCCCATTTCAAACTCACTCTTACGTTGTGGGTTGCAGAATCCGAATATACAGATATCGCGATATGCACTTGCCGATTTATGCTGTCGCTACAATAGTGTAAAAAGCAGTGTACTTGTAATGGGGCTCGGCATAGCCAGACTTATACCTAGTGGACTCCTTAAATGCATGTATGTTTGTTATGTGTTATTTGCCCCACTTTTACGTCGTTTGGACAGGAGCATCTGCTAAGTAAAAGTAAATGTAAATATATTGCTGTATCACAATTCTCACCTTAACTCAGAAATGCTTAGTGCAATTTCAACAGTAAAGATAAATTATCATCATATCACCCTCTAGTAAACTTATCTATAAAGTTGGGCAGTTTTAACTTATACAGTTAAATATAGGAACAACAGATTAATACCCCACTGGAACTTAAATTTCAACTGTCCAGTTACCTATTTGATCCCATAACTGATTGCTGGCCCTGTACTTCACCATGAGATATATCATCCATCCATCCATCCATCCATCCATCCAATTAATTATTTTTTAGGAGGATTTTGAGAGGATGAGAGGATTTTCTGATTTAAAAATGACATAAAGTACCACATATAGGCAATGTCTAAACATGGACTATAACCACCTATTGAAAATAAAACACTACAGCATACTCCTCCTGTTGTTTACAAGTGTTTATAAAGTGTGTATGATTCAGTTTTTAAAAGTTCCAAAATATTATCTATATTTTTGTCATCATTCCAGTGATTTTTGTGATAATCCTCACCATGGTTAGTATATATTAAGTAGCTCTCAATAATGTCAGACAAAGGACACATTAGTAATTGCTTGGACATACGGAAATCTTTAAGTCAGGGGTGTGAAATTCCAGTCCTTGGGGGCCGGAGCCCTGTGTAGCTTAGTTCCTTCCTTGTTCCCCCACAAATGATTTAGCTTATGAGCTGTGTGGTAATTAGCATAAGGAGGTGCAAGATGTCGGATCAGGTGTGTTTATTGATGGGAAACCCAAAATATGCAGGGCTCTGGCCCCACAGGACTGGAGTTTGACACCCCTGCTTTCATTCAAGTCATTCATTCAATTCATACTCAAATGCAGTGCAGTTTATATAGCTTGTTGGCTTAATATGTGGGAAGTGCTATGCAGTTAATTTGGGCTAGAATGTGAAATGAAAGTAAAAGTTAATTATTTAATGTATGTTTTAGAATGAAATACTGTGTTTGTTGCTTGGGACACAACAAAATTGGTGTCTTTCACCATTTCCATTTTCATGTAAATTTAAGTCTGATCCAGAGGACCTCAAATTGTTCTGAAGCAGCAGATAAAAGCAATGAAGGGAGGTTTAGTCTAGTGTGTGAACATCATGATCCAGACAATCTAGCTCTACTTTTTGAATCCAAACATCTGCAGTAAAATAAGCTCTCTACACTCCTGGAAG